GGGGTTGTAACTTACCCCTAGGCAGATGTCTAGGCGCCTTACACTGGGCGCACACCGAGCAGGAGGAGACATAAACCCTCACATCCCTCGCTAACGTGGGCCACCAGTACTTAGCACTAAGGCAGTGCACTGTCCGGCCAATACCAGGATGTCCAGAGGAGGGTGACGTGTGAGCCCAATAGATCAATCGATCCCGAACCTCGAGCGGGACGTACGTCCGAAACTCCGGGCATTGAGGAGGACTAGGGTCGGTGCGCAACGCCCGCTCGATCTCAGCATCGACCTCCCACACTACCGGTGCCACCAGACAAGACTCCGGCAGTATGGGAGTGGGCTCCACGGACCTCTCCTCCGTGTCATACCGCCGAGACAGTGCGTCTGCCTTACCGTTCTGTGACCCAGGGATGTACGTGATCTTAAATACGAACCGGGCCAAAAACATGTTCCACCGCGCCTGGCGAGGGTTCAGTCTCCTAGCTGCCCGGATGTACTCCAGGTTACGGTGGTCAGTCAAAATGAGAAAAGGGTGTTGAGCCCCCTCAAGCCAATGCCTCCACACCTTTAGGGCCTGTACCACGGCTAACAGCTCCCTGTCCCCTACGTCATAATTTCGCTCCGCCGGACTGAGCTTTTTGGAATAAAAAGCACAGGGGCGGAGTTTAGGTGGCGTGCCGGACCGTTGCGAAAGCACGGCCCCTATACCGGCCTCTGACGCGTCCACCTCTACCTGAAATGGTAAAGAGGGATCCGGATGCGCCAGCACCGGAGCCGAAGTAAACAGGTCCTTCAGCCTCCCAAAAGCCCTGTCCGCCTCGGCTGACCACTGCAAACGCACCGGACCCCCCTTCAAAAGAGACGTTATGGGAGCTGCCACCTGTCCAAAACCCCGGATAAACCTCCGGTAGTAATTTGCAAACCCCAAAAACTGCTGCACCTCTTTAACAGTGGTTGGAGTCTGCCAATTACGCACGGCTGACACCCGGTCAACCTCCATCTTCACCCCTGACGCAGACAACTGATAACCCAAAAAGGAGATTGACTCCTGGAAAAACAGACATTTCTCTGCCTTGACATACAGGTCGTGCTCCAACAGCCTCATCAACACTCGGCGCACCAGGGCCACATGCTCGACTCGGGTAGACGAGTACACGAGAATGTCATCTATGTACACAACCACCCCCTGCCCCTGCATGTCCCTGAAGATCTCATCCACGAATGATTGGAAAACTGAAGGAGCATTCATCAACCCGTATGGCATGACAAGATACTCGTAATGACCCAAGGTGGTACTAAACGCTGTCTTCCATTCATCACCCTCTCTAATGCGTACCAAGTTGTAAGCGCTCCTGAGATCTAATTTTGTGAAAAAACGCGCCCCGTGCAATGACTCCGTCATGGTCGCAATCAGAGGATGTGGATAACTGTACTTCACCGTGATCTGATTGAGACTACGGTAATCAATGCACGGGCGTAACCCTCCATCCTTCTTCTTCACAAAAAAGAAACTCGAGGACGCAGGGGAAGTGGATGGCCGTATGTATCCTTGTCTCAGAGATTCGTCTATGTAAGTCTCCATAGCTCTCTTCTCCTCTTGAGACAGAGGATACACATGGCTCCGTGGGAGCGCAGCTCCTGCCTGGAGGTCTATCGCACAATCTCCCTGCCTCTGAGGAGGTAACTGCGTCGCCCTCGACTTACTGAACACAATAGCCAAATCCTCATACTCGGGGGGAATGTGCAATGCGGGCACCTGGTTTGGACTCTCCACCGAGGTAGCCCCCACGGAAACACCTAAACATCGCCCCACACACTGGGCAGACCACTCCATCAGAGCCCTCTCCTGCCACGAAATAGACGGATTATGGATACTCAACCAGGGCATTCCCAGCACCACCGGATACGCAGGAGAGTCGATCAGATATAGCTGGATAATCTCCTCATGACCCCCCTGCGTACACATCCTAAGTGGTGCCGTGACTTCCCTGATCAAGCCCGATCCCAACGGACAGCTATCTAGGGCATGAACGGGGAATGGGACGTCAACAGGAAGAAGGGGAATCCCTAATTCTAAACAACATTTTCTATCAACAAAATTCCCAGCCGCGCCTGAATCTACTAGCGCCTTATGCTGGGAATGAGGTGCAACCTGTGGAAATCGCACAGGTATACAGAAGTGTGCAACAGAGAGCTCTGGGTAAGTGGGGCGCCTACTCACCTGGAAGGACTCCCCAGTGCGGAGCCTGTCGTCTTCTCCCCTAGGAGACCCTCCCCAGCACCTAGCCGCGGTGTGTCCTCCACGGCCACAGTTGGTGCAGAGGACGGCCCCCCTCGTGCTCCGACCCCTCCTCTCTCTAGCGCCAGCACCCCCGAGCTCCATAGGGCTCGGCTCGGAGGTGCTGGAGGATGGAATGGACGGACCCCCCTCGGAACGTCCGCGGGTAGCCAGCAGGGTGTCCAGCCTAATGGACATGTCCACTAACTGATTGAAAGAGAGGCTGGTATCCCTGCAGGCCAGCTCCCGACGGACGTCCTCTCGTAGACTACAGTGGTAGTGATCGATGAGGGCCCGCTCATACCACCCTGCATCCGCCGCTAGAGTTCGGAATTCTAAAGCGAACTCCTGGGCGCTCCTCCTCCCCTGCCGGAGGTAGAACAGACGCTCCCCCGCCGCTTTCCCCTCAGGTGGATGGTCAAACACAGCCCTGAAGCAGCGGGAGAACTCAGAGTAGGTGATGGTGGAGGCGTCTATTCTCCTCCACTCGGCGTTGGCCCATTCCAACGCCTTCCACCTGCAGAAGGAAGCCCTGACACCCGGCAGCGGTCCCATCATAGGCCCTCGGGAGCGAGAGCCGAATTCCCCTGGGTTCCGGAGCTTGAATGGGCTGACTGGCCGATGGTGATGGCACGGGAGGTGGAGTTGTGGGTGTCCCTCTGGTCTCCCAGCGTTGAAGGGTGTTAATCACGTCCTGAAGGGCGGTCCCGATACGAAGGATCTGATCGTTCTGCTCACGGACCCTATCCTCCAGAGACTCAGGTGCTGCTGCGGCTCCTGCTGATTCCATCCTTATGGTGTGTGATTCTGTCAGTGGGTGCTGTAGGTGGGTGTGGTGCAGGAATCAGGCGCAGGACGCAGAAACTTAGTCCAAAAGACTTTAGTGAACACTCACTCATAACACGAGCCAAAAAGCCCGGAGGCGAGAAAATACGCACACAGGCGTAAAACAAAATGCGCACTAACATGTGCGAGAACCCTCCCTAACAGAGGAGGAAAACAACGAAGCACAGACAACCAACAGTAGCGCACAAACACGACAGCAAGTACAATCACACACAACACCTGACAAACACAACGAGAACTTATAGGACACTAATGAGCGCTAAACGAAAACAGGTGTACAACATCAAGACAAAACCAAACGAACATCGAAACATACAACGGTGGCAGCTAGTACTCCGGAGACGACGACCGCCGAAGCCTGCCCGAGCAAGGAAGAGAGGCAGCCTCGGCCGAAACCGTGACAGTAACAAAATGTGGAAAAAGGGAAGGGGTCTGAATACTTTCCGAATGCACTGTATAGTGTAAGTTAAGGAAATAATCGCAAGACAAATATGTGAATCTCAGATATAGATTGAAATCACAATGAAAAAACAAGAACCAAAAGAGGAAAACATATATAAATAAATATATAAATAGATCAAAATAATATGAATGACTCGTTTGTAAAATAGAAAGCATAATTATCACATTATAGCATACATTATTGGCCAGTTGTGCCAGGACAACAACCTCTCCTTCAACGTGAGCAAGAAAAAGGAGCTGATCGTGGACTACAGGAACAGGAGAGCCGAACACGCCCCCCATTCACATCGACGGGGCTGTAGTGGAGCGGGTCGAGCGTTTCAAGTTTCTTGGTGTCCACATCACCAACAAACTATCATGGTCCAAACACACCAAGACAGTTGTGAAGAGGGCACGACAACAACTTTTCCCCCTCAGGAGACTGAAAAGATTTGGCATGGGTCCCCAGATCCTCAAAATATTATACAGCTGCACCATCGAGAGCATCCTGACCGGTTGCATTACCGCCTGGTATGGCAACTGCTCGGCATCCGACCGTAAGGCGCTACAGAGGGTAGTGCGTACGGCCCAGTACATCACTGGGGCCAAGCTTCCTGCCATCCAGGACCTATATACTAGACGCTGTCAGAAGAAGGCCCAAGTCATAGACTGTTCTATCTGCTACCGCAAGGCAAGCGGTACCGGAGCGCCAAGTTTAGGTCCAAAAGGCTCCTTAACAGCTTCTACCCCCAAGCCATAAGACTGCTGCACAATTAATCAAATGGCCACCCGGACTATTTACACTGCTGCTACTCGCTACCCCTACCTACATGTACAAATTACATCGATTAACCTGTACCCCAGTACATTGACTCGGTCCCTGTACCCCCTGTATATAGCCTCGTTATTGTTATTTTATTATTACTTTTTATAAAATGTTTTACTTTAGTTTATTTAGTAAATATTTTCTTAACTCTATTTCTTGAACTGCATTGTTGGTTAAGGGCTTGTAAGTAAGCAGTTCACGGTAAGGTCTACACCTGTTGTATTCGCCGCATGTGACAAATACAATTTGTTTTGATTTTCACAACCTAGATTAAATAAATCCAGGTGTAGGTTTAATTCTGGTTTATAAAACAAGAACAAAAAATGTGATTTCATGAACATGCAAAATCCCAGATTGCCCATGCATATGGTCTGATATTTTTATGATCCGGGATTCAATCCGATCGCCCCTTTTTGACTATAAACCATTTAATGCCAATGTTATTCTCTCAGCAATGATGACTGAGAGAATGATTTCTCCCCGCGCTGCTGAAGGCTATTTTGGTCCGCTCATACAGGAGTAATAAAGGCCCAGTGCACTACTTTTGTAATGTATTTAGTAATTTTATTTTTTTGTTCTGATTTATCAGGGGGTGCTGCAGCACCCTCAGCACCCCTACTTCCCGCGGCTATGGATGACTGTGAATAAAATATTATCAATGTCTGTAGTAGGTGAAAGTTTATCTGTGTAGACATCGATGTAGATCAACAGCTCATAAAGGAGGCAGAGAATTCCCTGCAGCATCCCAGTGATGGTGACCCTCATCTTACTGTGCTGCTGGGGAGAGGAGAAGGGGCTGCTCTCTTTCATGCTCCTCATGCGTCTACAAAGGTAGCACACAGTGGCACAGCTCGACCCAACCACCACACAGACACCAGAAAAGAAGTAGATCATTCTAAAATAATGACATGCCTCCTTTGTGTAATACAGTACATTTGGTGAGCCAGCAGCAGTGCCATTAATTGATGTATAAGTGCTATTAGTATTTCATGAGACATTGTCGAGATGATCAACTAATGATGTTTCAGCTACAGCAAGATATAACAGTGAGAACATGGTGTCGACAAACCCAGTAGATTATTATTTTGATGTTCCTCTTCACCCTGATGAAGGGTGCTCGCTGGGCAGGGCCGATCCGGGTGTAGTAGATCAAATTCAGACAAATAGAGATTGACATGTTGGTGGGTAATGAGTGCACCATTATCAGAACACCAGCAAAGCAGAGCTCTGAATGTTCATTGAAGAAGAATCAGCACAAGCATTCCTTTGCAATAAGAGAGACCAGAAAAACTGTTGTAGGAAACCAAGGCTCCCAGCAGTATCTTCAAAGGCCGTTTGAGGGAGATTCCAATGTTCCCTTACAGCACTATTGAGAACGGCACAACTAAAACAACAATTCTGAAAGGATCTTGTGTAACTCTCAGATTTGTAAATGATGGTACATCTGGGTGGGACAGTATATTCATATTGGTATGCGAACCTCATCACGCTCTAATGAACAGAATGCAGAGTTATTTATTGTATGTTCCGCACATGTTCTTTTTGTGCTCTTGAATACAAATGAATGTAAACAAATGAAAACATATCAGTACTGAATCACCTGGAATGAATTATCCATCTTGATAATCTTTTTCTCTGCAAAACTGACAGGTGCTCAACTGAAGAAGTTTGTTTGTCTGTCCATATTTATTTGGACAGTGAAGCAATTTTTTTTTACATTTGGCTCTATACTACAGAATTTTGGATTTAAGATAAAAAATGTCATATGAGGCAACAGTACAGAATGTCACCTTTTATTTGAGGGTATTTTCATACATATCTGTTTACCGTTTGGTCCCATATTCCTAGCATGCAATGACTACATCAAGCTTGTGGCTCTATAATATTTTGGGATGCATTTGTTTTGGTTGTGTTTCAGATTATGTTTTGCCCAATAGGAACTGAATGATGAATAATGTATTGTGTCATTTTGGAGTCTCTTTTATTGTAAATAAGAAGAGAAGATGTTTCTGAACACTTCTACATTGTGGATGCTACCATACGTATGGATAATCATGAATTAATTGTGAATAATGATGAGTGAGAATGTTACAGAGGAACAAAGATCATACCCCCAAAAACATGCTAACCTCCCCTGTTATTGGTAATTGTGAGAGGTAAGCGTGTCTTTGAGTATTTGTAACTTTCTCACTCATCATTATTGATGATTCATTCATGATTATCTGTAATCATGGTAGCATCCACATTAATGTAGAAGTGTTCAGAAACAGGGCAGTTTCTAGCATTTTGGGGGCCCTAAGCATTTCCTGGTTGCTAAAATTATTCTAATAGTTCACCTAATTTCAGTTTATGTGACAAAACAAGCAGTCATTGTGTAGAGAATCATTGGACCATCTAAACCGCTGTGAGATATATTTTCCATAACCAAAAATATTGTATTTTCCATTGTTTTGAAGCTGGTGTACAAAACCAAAAGGAAAAGAAGCAAAAACAAAACTTAAGGGGAACCATAGAAATAGCACACATAGAATATATCTACTGCTTCTTAGACTTGCTTCTAATGCAAATGACAGATCTATAAATCACATTTCTATGTGAATTTCGTCAGATCGCCCAAAAAGTGACATTGTAGCTTTAAATTAGTACATTTATGTACAAAAATAATACAAGAAGTGTTGAGTTGAAAATGGTATAATTGGTGGAGTACTGTGGATACCACTATCCCTGTAAAAAGATCCACAAGGTCTGCCATGAGAGGTGACTGTGTAGTTCCCCTAAGGAAAAGCACCTTTAGTAAATCCGCTTTTTCTGTGAGAGCTTCCCATGTCTGGAATACACTGCCATCAGACACACATAACTGCACCACATATCACACTTTCACAAAATGCTTGAAGACATGGCTAAAGGTCAATCAGATTTGTGAACATGGTCCCAAGTTGTGTGTTGCCGCTTTCCATGTCTGTTGTCTGTAGCTTGTGAGGTGTGGAAACACTTTGTTGCTTTTATGAATTTTGTCTTGCTGCTTTTTGTTCTATGTTGCTCGGTCTGTATGCTACTTCTTGTTTGTTCTATGTTGTTATTGTCTATATTGTAATTGTTTTTAATAACCTGCCCAGGGACTGCGTTTGAAAATTAGCCGGCTGGCTAAAACCGGCACTTTTACTGAAACGTTGATTAATGTGCACTGTCCCTGTAAAAATAAACTCAAACTCAAACTCAAACCTCCCAGGCCCATGTTGCCCAGGGTTAAGAACATACATTGTAGATTAATAATATTACATTGTATTATATTACACTCTCTAAATATTATTATTCCAATCTGTTTGTAATATTCATTTTTTAAAGAAATGTAAAAAAGAAAAACAGGGGTCCGCGGACCTCACTGAGAACCCCTGCCCTAGAGATATGGATTGCGTGACCGGCCAGTAATTTGGCCATGATTACTTCAAGGTTTAGATAGCTGGCTAGACTACCTTACCTAAGGGCGGGGGGGGGGGGGACAAACTGCAAATGAAACAAAACAAACTGCAAATGAATCCAACACGTTTGATGTTGTCATTGTGTGCTAGGAAAAGGGACCAAATACAAAAATTGACTAAATGTAATACACTATAAGTGAATTTGTCCAAATACTTATGACACCTTCAAATTCAGGGGACCACAAAATAATCCTGCAGCAACTGGAAATGTGAATTATTATGTGGATTATAATGAATGGACATTTTTGTAGGGGCTGATTGATTTTTTTGTTATGGCAAATAAAATAAGTGGAAATTAGAAACTTTAGAAGCCTTTTTAAAACTCAAATACACTACAAGTTTGCATTTCCTGCTGTGCAGGAAAATTCTTGGCAAAAAAAGGGTGATCAAATTAAGAACCTACTCTGTAGATACATAAAGTGCATTCATTTCTAAACAGTAAAACCTACACACCTGTGTCTGATATTGTTTAAGAAAGGACTGTGAGCAAGGCACATATTTGTCACACTTCTTTGTCAGTATTGGATTTGGACATATTTATTCTGAAAACAATTGTATTAATGAAGAGTCAGGTTGAAATACTTTACCAGAAATGATCATTCTAAACGCCCTCCTGAACCAACTGTAAAAGAATGCATACACCATGGGATTAATAGTTGAATTCAAATAGCCAATCCATACAAATGTTACAAACAAAACGGATGGGGTAGAGTAACTAATAAAAGGATCAATACAGTTGATGACAAAAAAGGGTGTCCAGAATGATAGAAATACCCCCATAATGACAGCAAGTGTTTTGGTGGCCTTCCTCTGTGATTTGCCTACAGAGTTCTGATTGGTTGTACCCTGAATTGAGCGTGCCTGTCTCCGTGCTATAAGGAAGATCTTTAGGTAGATGCTAAGCATCCCTACTCCTGGGATGTAGAATGAGATCACCGAAGACACAGTACTCAACACTTTGTTTTGAAACAAAATACATCCTCCCTCACAGGCAACATTTTTATAGTAAAAATCCTCAATGCCCCAAATATTGAGCTCCAGAAATATCATACAAAACCCTACTATGGCAGAAACAGTCCAGGTGACCAACATCATAATCAGAACAACGTGAACAGTTATTTTAGTTCTATAAAGGAGAGGGCGACACACTGCATAATACCGGTCAATAGAAATAAAACACAAATGAAGAATGGAAGCAGTGCACAACATGACATCAGTGCTGGTGTAGATTTTACAGAATAAATCTCCAAAATACCAGCAGCTTTCCACTGAATGTACCATGCTGGGAGGCATCACTAATACCCCCAAGAGGAGGTCTGACACAGCCAGAGAGAGGATGAGGTAGTTGGTTGGGGTGTGGAGCTGTTTGAAGTGAATGATGGGGATGATTACAAGAAGGTTGCCACACACTGTGAGAACAGACATTGAGCCAAGGAAGAGATAAAGTAATACTTGTACTGTTGGAGGAAAGATTGATCTTTTGCAAGACCCATTCACTGATTCAAAACATAGAAGTATATTCTCAACAATATCAGCCTTGCTTAGACTGATTCCTGGTTCCATGGTCGTGGTTGAAAGAATCTTATCTGAAATAAAAAAATATATACATTATTGTCACATTAATTATTACTATACATTTTAAACATCAATTACAGAATATTAGTTGGAAATAATTACATTATGCATGGTTTAACTAAAATAAAATGTAAATGCTGTATTTTTCCACACAGTATACTGTCACTTAGTAAAATGTTTTAAATTACTGTTGCTTATTCATTGGAAATATTTTCACAAATAACCAAAGGGACATGTTTTTTCCATTTCAAAAGGTTTAACAATGTAAATGTTTCCAATTCAGCAAGTATGATTTGTTTTCATGGTGCTTCATCATACCTTACCTCTCAACGATGCAGATGGAGTTGCATCACGTGAATCGATTTTCTCTGGTCACAATGTGATACAAAAATCTGAACTTGAATCTCATGCTTTTAACCTATAGTCTATTACCATAATGATGATTACAATATCCTTTCGACCAATCAGACATTTCTATCTTTCAACTCTACAGGGCACTCAAGCTGATGATGTCATATTATTATTATTTTTTACATTTTTTAATCATTTAGCAGACGCTCTTATCCAGAGCGACTTACAGTTAGTGAGTGCATACATTTTTCATACGGTTGTAACCACACCATTGAGGTTAATTGTAAAACCTTGACAAGTATCATGCCATTTTATAAAGGACTCTATTCAGTTCTATTTAGTTTTACTGGGGGAGGTCGGGTAATGTAATTATGTGCATGAGCAAAAAACACCACATCTGTAATTTTAGTCCCG